GTGTCTCTGTGTATCGGATCATCCCACGTGAATCCCCATTTCTAACTTTCGAGGAAGTACTTACACTTGATTCAGGTCTCAGTATTATTCGTCTGATTTTTTTTCATTTTTGGCAAGCACAATGCCAACTTTAATGAAATGATCTATTACGCCAAGCCCATATGCAAAGATGGGCACAGATGGTTCCATTTTGCGTTCTGATTGCGTTCAGTAAAATTTCCCATCATTACTGAGTTCAAACAGATTTAGTGATATCTCTAACCTTAAAGAAAGGGTGGTGAAATGTAAAGTGCCCCGGGAGTGCATTTATCAAGAATAGGAATACGGACTATTCATTCACAACGAAGGTATTCAAGTTAGGATTACTCTCCAAATTGTTTAAACATAAAGACGTACACTGCTTACAAAATATCTAAACTAGCCTCCGAAAAAATTACTGGTCATCAAAGTGCTCAGTCCCCATCCATATATATTTTACGGTATTTCATGGAAGCGAAGCTACTGGTTGTCGAAGCAAGACGAAGACATCTCGGCCAAATGGACCGCTTGATCAAACATTACTGACTGGTAATACCTGCTTGTGTGTCAGAATGACACGCCACATATAAAATTCTCTTAAGGTTGCCCGATGGAAGCGAAGTACCGATAAATTGTGCTTAGGGCCATAACTATGCTGTGTTCGTTCTCGTACCACTCCCGTTCCTTAGTTTAACTTTTTTACTTGTCGTCGCTGATCCATATACTACACTCACAAATATATGCTCCAGGTAGTGAGAGAGTGGGTATTGTTAGGTACGCCTTGTCACAGCTCAGTATAATGGGAATAATCGAAATAGTGATTGTATAACAGGGCAATCAATTGGGACGTTAAATATCTATCTGATTATGATTTTGAGAAGGAAAAGAAAGAAAAAAGTAGAAAAAAGTAGAAAGAAAAAAGAAATCCTTGGTCAGAGGTAAAAGTAAGAACTGGCATCCATCAATACGGGAAAATGGCTCCCACAAAGATCGAAACATAATTGCTTGCCCTCGGAAAGACGAATCCGAAAAGAGAATATCCCGCTGTAGGCAGCTTATTTACCTGATCTCCACTGATGCAAAGAACACAGTTAGTCCCCTTCCATACTACTAGCGGTAGTTGTCAAAAGTGACCGCTGATGTCACTGAACTGCGGAACTACCGATGGTGCTCATCAAAGCAGCTCCGATTAATTTGTTAAATTAGTTAAACTGATTGAGCGAAAATATATAAACTTTTTCATTGACGGTTCGACGTTTTATTTGAGATCGCTGTACATATTAGGTTTTGTTTCGGTGAATATCTTTCAAGGTAACGGGATCTCGATTTACACGGACATATGTCCGAATTTCCCACAAGATGAATCCCCGCAACTGACGCTCGCTCACCTATTCCCTACTCACGTGACTTTTATGTAAGAAGGAAAAATAACACGAATTAGATGACGTATCTTATCCCTCCATCTGTAATACAACGCAATTGCTGTTCATCTAACTGAAAATGACATGAAAACATCAAGTTAATCACGATACCTAAAAATACAGGCGTTTTTCCGAAAACTGATATTACCCATAGACTTCAACTTATAGAACTAAGTTATCTCAAACTAGAAATGTGTAAATGTCCTGCACGGGCTCAAACAAAAGCAAATCACAACTCAGAAGCCGTGATAGATCGAACTACTTGGGGCTAGTTAAAAAAATTAGCGTTGAAATTTCAACTACACATCTTATGGAAAACTGTAGACAGTTCATTTTTCTCCCTGCGACAGTGATTCCAAACTTGGAATGCTGTGTTCCGTTTCGGCTGCCAATGTTTACAAATGGGTGGAGTGCATTCATACGCAGATAACGTTCCAAAGGTGAAACATTCATTCTGTTTTGGAAAAGGTTTTATAATCGTTTTTGGTCACCGGAAGGCTACTGTGTGGTTGATCCCAGTAAATCTCCACCACATGCGCTAGCTTCTTTCGTCATGAGATCACGCAGCATCGCAAACGTAGATTGGAGGGCAACATTGACAAGCGTGTGCAAATCACGATTGTTTCATGGCACCCTCAAATAAGGGACTTAAAATGGTATTCAACATAACTTGTTACGTGTGTTCGTGTAATGATAAATTACGGACTTTTGTGTGTGCCGTACAACAAAGTATCAATCACTTACTTTCAAAAAGGAAACCACGCCAACGGCACGTCGATGACAGATGGCTCCCTGGCAAGCGCATTGATCCTTATTAGCTTATCAGTACAGTAGTTTGCTGTGCGAAAGCCATTGGAATTTTTGTGGAGTGCGCAGTTGAGCAAGACAGTGAAGAAACACCGCTCGACACACAACTCTGTTACTGGAGAACAATAAGATGATGGCGCTTTTTTTCTGACACATTAAACCACTACTCGTCAGAGCCGATTCATTTCGGCACTTAAAATAGGCCAGTGGCTGTGAGTCAGATAATGCCGAATGAATTGCATTGAGCGCCTCATCGTATGCTGATCTAATGAGGGTGTAATCATTGGGACCATATTTGTAGCCAGAAAAACGGGTTCTCAGAACAATGCTTGCACAAATTTGCAAAGGTCCTCTCAAGTTGTGCGGCAAAATTTGACCTATCTATGCACCATCTATGTAAGACGCCTCTGTAATGAGGCCAAAATATGGTTTGATATTAATGAGTAACCACCCAGCTTAGTGGCTACTACAAGAAGGGCGCTAGAACGCTCCCACATCGCGGCGTTCTCCATCTTGAAGGTCACTTTCACGGTCCACGCGTTACTCAACCGATCAATCAATGTAGAAAGACATTATACAGGACCCAGTTTAACATGATACCGGGTGATGCGCACCAATATAATTTGTTCTGGAAAGTGCATGTGCTAGTATTGACCGCCTTGGTAGAATATATTGGAGATGAAATGAAAAGACATGTAAACTGATTGGAGAAATATTTTAGCAAAGGTCCAGAATGTTTTCTGGTGATAGAATTGATCGAAATATATTTTTGGATTTCATTGCACGTGTAGGCATTTTCATTTTATGTGCATCGTCCAAAACGTAAGGACCGAAACATATGCCAAGTTGAAGTATTCAGTCAAATGTGAAAGGATGAAAGCAATGAAGAATACCACAAAAAGACAACGTTCACTGATTGTTCGAAGCAGGCTTCCAGGTAACCTGATAGAAAAATCTCAGTGGGGAATCCAGTTAGCAAACGCTCGCCATTACGCAGCACAGTGTTCTGGTTCAATTAAGATCAACGCAGTCTAATGCGGCTGTGTGTTTTTCATATCCGCATACTCCACGACAGACTGAAAAAGAAGGGGTTCATCGAAATCTGTCGCGATGGCTGCGGTCAGTAATTCTTCCTGGTAGGTTGGGCGACTACACCAAAAAAATGCGCACTTTGATGGTGGGTTTAGAGTAGACGCTCAGCATACAGAAGATGGGTTGTGGATTCTTCAGCTGTGTACTAGATATTGTCTGATTCTGGTCAGTAAGAGATTTCCAGTCGAGTTACTTTGTGGCCAAGAACCACAAGCCAGTCATCAACCCATTTGGATCACAGCTATCGATAATCCTAGCATAAGGGATATCGTTCCTTCTGGAGCACACAAACCGACTCAGGTCACGCCATTGTATGAGCTCGTTTATTACTTCGCTTTCTGTTGATATTGAGCACGCCGGAGCACAGACACTCCATTCATCAACTTCGATTAGTTTCAGTAACCAAACAGTATCGGAATGATCGGAATGGAAAGTTATTAGAAACACACTTTCATGCTGGTGGGGAAGACAATGTGGAAGTTTCATTGGAGGCTGGTTAAATAAGCTGTGCTTTCACTTTCTGAAACTCTCTACGCCATCCGACCCTACTAAATTAACACCAAATATCCTCGTGATCAGCGAATTATATTGTTGCCGGAAGAGCCATGACAGGAACTAGCGACAATGATGGCAGGCGCAGACCTCTAAGACACTGGATATATGACAGAGGAAACCGGTGGACTGCGAAGGTCCTGGAGCTGGAGGAGGCTTTTGTTGCAGAAAGTGACCGCTCTCCATTTCCTCTGGCTCGATCAAAAGAAGATAGGTGCTAGCGAGACAATCTGCAGACAGGACGGAATGGTAATTCGTTCGCAAAATTGTCCACTTGAGCGATAGGATGAAAACCTTAAAGAGCACATTCGCTGACTGCTTCAAAGTAAGCCCTGGAAAAACTCATTAAGTCTGAGTACAATACTGACATCAGCCCTTCGTCAAAAGCATAAATCCAGTGAGAGAGATCATTCCACCGACGCGATAAGACACCCTGCCCGGATGATCCCAAGCCCTCGCTTTTGAAAAGTTATGAAGCCATGGTGAACACTCTGACGAGCCCACTGCTCAAGATTTGTAACAGAAACAGAATACCAGTAGAATGGAGCGACTAGGCTATGATACCAGGCCCGAAAAATGCCAAAAGTACGTCATGCAAATACTCTCATTGCATCAACCTGGTATCCAGGGCACCCAAGTTGCTCTGTGGGACTATTTTACGTGAGTTATTTGATTAATTTGGAAACAAACTGATGAGAATCAAGCTAGGTTTTACCATGGTTGAGGATGAACTGGGCACATTTTTACCTTGAGACAACTTCGAAATTGTCGATCTTTCAAGTGTCCAACGACGACTGTTTTTCTTGCTCTAAAAGCTGATTTCGATTCCGTCGGTTGCCAAAAACTTTGGAGGTGCTTGGGGATCAAAGACACGCCTTCTAGATTTGTATTATTTGTAAGGGCTCTCCATGCGGACCCCATTGAGGGCTTGCAAGCATACAACAAGCTTCCGCCTGAGTTTGCCACATCCACTGGCATAATGGCATTTTTATCGAAATTTGTTAACAATATGCTGCCTGAAACCTTCCTGATTGCTTCTGAAACCTCGTGATCAAAGTTCTCTCCGGGCATTCGCACACATACAGTGAGTACATGAACGGTATTACTTACTTTGCTTCAGGCGCATCGAAGGCGCGAACCATTGAAGTGACTTAGCTGATTCTGTCACACAGTTTGCCATGCGCTCCACACCTGCAAATTGTAAAGTTTGCTTCGATAGTAGGTGGGATTCAACCCAAACCTTGAGCTTGCATACAAGCCAGTCCATGTGGTGGATAATTTTGTTTACCTGGGCAGTTGTTCCGATGGGCTGCAATGAGATGAGTGACCTCTAGAATCTGCCAAACTCCGACAACTGTGAGCGAGTTCTTCTGTGAGGGGAGGAGTATACTTTGAGGTTGCACAGCCCATACTACGTTATGGATAAGCAACGTTGCTTCTACCCGCAGAGAACGTACGGAAGCTTTCAGTTTTGACCATCAATGCCCCTAAAACATTGGTCGAGTCTAGTGAGAACAGAGGATAAATATGTTGATGTCAGCCAGATGGTTTTGGGAAGCAGGCAACCTCAGATGGATGAGCTACTGAAGGCTCATAGGTATGTTCACACAATCTGTAATGCAATAAAATTCAATCAAGTTGACATCGTTTATCCCACATTACTTGCTGTGTTTTGGTTGGATGTACTGGTGGAACGAATCAAGAACCCGTAGTCTGTGGATAGGAAGAGCAAGACGAAGACTTGCTACCCATAAATCGCAAAGAATTAGCACAGCAGTCCTCTTGACAGTTTGCCAAATTTTGCCTGTTACAAGTGTTATGGAGAAGCCATGACAAAACACTCTGACGTAGCTTGGTCGGCAGAAGATAGCTAGCAAGTGTAAGTGTATCTCTTTGCTTTTTGCACGACATCTGGTGCATATCATTGTGCCAGTGTCTGCTGCCATTTCGAATACCTGGTAGACAAACAGATATGAATATTTAGCAATGCCGATATCTCCCATCAGCTTTAAGAGGTTCCTATATGAGTTCTCATAAGCCATTAAGCCTCATGTTGGCAGGTGTTGCTTTATTGATGGAGATGGACTGAACGAAAACCACAGATGTGCTCAGAACATCGTCTGCAGTTTTTGTTTGTGCCTGTTCTTTGGGTGCAATTATCGATCCTTCCTACCTGCCCAGATTACAATAGGGAACATAATCGAAAATACTATTGTTCTGAGGCTATTCTGAAGGTTGATCTAAACGACTAGTCTTGCTTTTTTTGGGTTCTTTATATGAATCTGATCTATTATCCTCCATGGGTGGTCAGTTGTGCATTCTTGGCTTTTTATTGAAAACGGCCGTCAAAATCGAGTCTTTGCATCCAGTCTAACAGACACTCGAATGAGTTAGAAACTCTTCTTAAGGAACTTATTCAACAGTCATGATGAATTCAACGAATATTGCATCTAGATTTATCTGGAGGTATTGCTTTCACCCATTTTTATCTGCCTACCATGAGTTTGGATAAAGGGGAGTGGTTTTGGTGAACTTCACACGGGTAAGGATGAAGCAAACTGGGCCTTGCTTAATAATGCTGCACGAGGAGCTTTGCAGGCTGCAAGTACGAAACAAGTCGGGTAAAGCTGGCGGAATGTTCTTATTTCCACCTTCATCCATTTCTAATGGTAAACAAGTTAACCTCAGATGAAATCTATGTTTCCTAATATTCTTCAACTGAAATACCGCTTCATGTTCCAGTTAGAATGATGTCGTGGCATATTTTCCTGAGGGAACACTACTTACATGTTTGTTGAAAATTCTTTGATAACCCACAAATGGCTTCGCCCTTTTTGGGTTGGTTTCCGTCAGTCCTATGCTCTAATTTGTTGTAATTAGTACGAAGAGGGTGGAGTACACTCAGTTATACTCCACGCTGTCTGTAACAAAAGACTCAACTGAATCCAAGCTTGAGCTCTCGTTTATGATATATTCAGCTGAAAGGTTTTCGGATGTTCTAATTAGTGCAACATTCAAGATGTTGCAGTAAGTGCAGTGGCGAACAACACTACTTATAATTTTGCTGATCGTTACTATTGAGCAGTTTTCGGGAATGTTTTGAGTAGTGTTATCTTAGGAAAATGACCAGTCGGTATTTTCTATGAATTACTGGATGTCAGGTGGAATGAGATCATTAGGAGATCAATCCGAGTATGATGACAACCTGAGTCAACGGTGTGCATTGTGCCAGGAATATCGGATACTTGAGGTCATGTTGACATAACTCACTGGGTTGCACTGGGCAGGAATAACTTTACGCAATTCTATGGACGAGTATGGGAGACTATTTAAGAGTATGGTTACAGAGGTCAGGTGTGCCTCAACTTCAGCTCTCTATGTGCACTCACAGAAGCGTAGCGCACAAATTTGATTTCGGTGATGGCCAGATAAAACTATACGATCACACTAACAGTTCAGACAGAAACACATAGGTGAAGGAGTATCAGGATAACAGTTTTTATTGAGGCAATTCTAGAGGCAGAACAAGACCACACATAAGAAAAAAGCAACATTAATTATTAAGGGTGAATGATACAATGTGAGTCATGACTTCTATATACACCAGGGCACAATAAACAACAGTACGTGCCAAATTCAGCATTTTCGTTGCGCCGTACAGCTGCTCAAACTGTCCATTCTTCGCGATCTCCCCAAAAATTCCCAAATAACAATCAGCACCTGAAATGAAGAAAGGTTATAGTCACTGTCAACAATTTAATTGTCTCCATGTAATGGACTCTAAAGTTACGGCTTGTAAGCAACATTGCGTCTGGGTGTAAACTAATGCGTTCCCCTCGGAAGACCTTGACTGGATTTGGTACCAAATTATCGTGTCTGCTTCAAGACCACATAGCTCACATTTGAGGGCAGGTGCGAAGTGTTCAGTCCAGCCGCTGGATTACAGATAATATGACGGAATAGTCAAGCGTTGATTTATTTAGAGGCGCACAACTCAGAAGACTAAGTGTAGATGAAGGGTTTCATTATCTGCCAACAGAAGCCTCAGAACTCCAAACTGCGCAAACAGTCCAAAAACGATGAATAATGTTTCACTAGTCGAAGTTCGCCTGGCCAAAACTATCTTTAGCCATTGCGATAAAACCGGTAGATGAACAAACACAGACAGGAACGGAATGAATGAAAGCAGAGTTGAACGTTTCCCCGGTGAAAGTTATGATAGGTATTTCATGGTTTTATTTAGCTCCAGCGTCAATTTATGGCAGCCGAATTGTAGAAAATACGCGATAAATAACTGATCTCATCCAATGGTAACACTTAATGTCATCACCAGATATAATTGACAAGCACACAAAAACCACACTAACGGAGAGCTTTTTTGGTGTGAGTAACGGCAATTAAGTTTCGGTTTCCCGGCAGATTATGTGAACAATAAAAAGTTCCAGTCAGTAACACACTCCCGATCTTTCTCTACAGTTCATTCTATCAATTTGCAATCTTTTCGTAATTCATGGTCCTTAAAGAGACTACAATTTTGAAACCATTAGTAAGAGAACAAACTTTGTTGATATCTACCCGGTGTGTGGCTGTCGTTCCGTATCTCTGTGTTCGAAGACAATACTTTGAGATTTTTGACGGAGTCCGACGGGCTGAAGTGAATAGCACCACCCTGGCTAGTGTGCTAACTGCACAAATGGTGGCCCGTTAGATCTACCCGTAAATCCAGCCAAATAAAGACAATAAATAAAGCATGCCTAGATTTAAGAACAGCCGAGAAGTGCGCGTGCCCTCCGGGCCTCAGATCCCACTAAATGTGTTTGGCAAAGCCTGGCACACTGTGGTGATTCCAGGTCCTATGACGATACTGCTTTCTGTAGTTGTGTTTCACCACATAAGTGATGGAGGGACGTCCTGTGCTTTGTAACTCACATCAGGTAGATAACAATGAATTATTTGAAAAGAATATTTCCGATGTGCTATTTTATCTGCACTTACATGTCTCGATTCCCACAGATTGCATGACGAATTGCTTCCGATCTTCAGTCAAAGGTCGATAAACATGAATTTTCCGGGTTCTCTTCTACTCAGCGTGTCCGATGGTTGGTATTTAGGTGCCGTTCTGTACTGTTCATTAAGCAGTAAAGCTAAAGGTTACAAGCTATGCCAGTTTCGATTGCGCGACCAACTAGTCAAATTGTGTAAACGCAGATCTGATGGATAATCGAGCATCATGCACCTAAATGTAATGCAAAATGTTATAGGTTGTACTACAAATTCAGTGAGAGGTAGAACTGCACTGTTTTGCTTGGTTCACACTTACGCAGCGACAGCAAAATAACAGTTAAAATGTTTCAGCGATCCTGGGACAAATTTAATCCATCTAAAACATTATCAAGGACTGTCTGATGCCTTAGCGATACGCTAAGTTAAAAGCTTTTAAACTCATTACACGCAGCTTGTGTGCCTAAATGGCTAACTCTTGACTTGCTGTTATTTGAAAGTAAACAATAGTGGCGAATTTTTACCCAAGTGATCTTCAGACATGAGCAGTTAGACACTTTATGCTACTGAAGGACTGTCGAGAATGAGGTTCTTTAAAACCGCGTTTTTCCATTAAGCTGACCCCGTGAGCAAATCAGGCAGGGCGTTCTCATACATTACTTACAATTTCAAGACCGAACAGCCACTGAACATATTGGCCCGATTACTTCACGTGCTACAGTGTCACGCTTGTGTATGGGTCAACAATATAATTTTCGGTCACCGAAACAGCTCTGAATATGGGAAGAGGGTAAGAGTGCAGTTCAAGTCTAGTACCATGCAACTGTAGTGCCTGTAGTCGTGAGGAGACCGAACCTCATTGAGCTGCAACGAACCACAGATATCCACTGGGTTACCCTGGGTGATGCCCAGGCAACAACCATAGAGCCCACGACCGGTTTCGCCCTTCTTGGGGCTTATCAGGTAGGCGCAGTCCCTGAGTTTCTGTCAAACCTTATGTTCTACTTGAGACCAAATTGCACTAAATTAGCGAGTATACACACATTTGCAAACTAATTTGCTTTTTTCTAGAGATTCGCCGGGAACCCAGCTGTATCTGCCTCAGCTACCTTAAAAACATACATGTATCGCGATATCTCAAATATCGTAGCAACTGAAACATGAGGTGGCCTGATGCAGCACATTCAGTTGTCTGGAAAAATCACAAACGAGAGCTTCAGTTGAGTTCCAGGTGATTCTTTCGAAAAAAGCAAACTAGTTTGCGAACGGGTGTGTATTTGCTAACCATAGGGCCTCTGCTAACAGGTT